CCTTTAAATTCTTTTGGTTTGGGAAGATCTATTCTCACTTCCTTGATTCCACTATTTACATCCAATAGTGGATTCCTTCCTTTTGCCTCTAAGGAAGTCTTGAGAGTGTTGAGTTGTTGTTGCATTGCGGTGATAGCCTCCATCACCTTCACCTCCAAGGATTTAATGGCATCATCCCGTTGATCCTCTGAGTTTTGCAAGGCATCCACACTACTCTTCATCCCTTCAATCTCTTTGAGAGTGTGGTTTTCCAACGTACCCATGTCACCCTCAACTTTCGCTACTCTACCCACCATTTCCTCCATTGCTTTATCTAGAGCATCAATTTTTATAGAGAGTATAGTAAGGTCTTCTGAACGTACCTTACTAGAGCCTCGTGTCCTCTTGCCACCTTGGTGTGGAGGTTGGGATTCCCTTCCCCTCTCCTCGTCGTGAGTAAGAGTCTCCTCAGTCACACCCGACATTCTTGCCTACCAGCATCGCTATCGAAACCACGGCTCCCTCGAACCTTGGCTCTGATACCACGTTGTCACGGCCTTGGAACTCCCTTTCCTTGAACCGTGCCAGCCTTAGCTTGATCACCCTCTTTGATCCCTGCTAAGTCAGCCGAACCCTCAAAGTAGGCAAAGAGACTAGGAGAGCTGGACGCACAAGTAAAGAGTAGAAAGCTTAAGTGAGTGAACTTGATAGCTTTATTGCTTCTCACTTGAGTTGTTACAAATGAGGGGTGAGAGGTATTTATAGGTCTCCCTCTTTCTCTAGAAAGTTTCCACCTCCTTAATGGACGGTTGGGATTGATTCAATCTAACGGTGTACATTCTATTTCTAGATATTTCTATAGAAATATCTACAACAAATATCTAGATATTTATAAAGAAGTTTTTAGAGACTATCCCTCAAGATATGTGTGAAATATTCTAGAACATCCTAGAATATTCTAGATATCTCCACATTCCTCCATAAGTTTCTAAAACCTTCTAGAAACTTCTAGATCTTTCTAGATTTCTCTAGATAATTCTAGATTGTTCTAGATGCCTCTAGAACATTCTAGAATATATTAGACCCTTATTGAAAGCTCTGGAATTCTCTCCGTTATTCTGGAGGTCTCCAAAAATTCCACAACTTTGTAAGTTTTCTTATATTTGAATATAGGTTGTGACACTAAGCTGAGCTTGTTTCTAGTGGTTGGTCACCATACTACTTGGTATTGTTATTATATTCATGTTACTTGCCCTACATGTCTATCTAATATTTGTTTAATATGCTTGCAAATTGGATGCTTGTTTAATATTGTTGTTATATTCAGGTTGAGCTTGTTTCTATTGGTTGGTTACCTTGCATTGTCAATGCCAGTGATCTAGAAAAAGGCTTGTGTATTTTGACCCTAATGTTGGAGATAAATTTTTGGAAAAACCAAAGGGCTTTTGATATTTTCAAGGAGCAACATCTAAAGACGCTTATCATATCATGGGATCAATTGTAATAGCTTGTAGGGATTAATTGTGCATGAAAATTTCAAATGAGAAATATGAGATCAATTGTTATACCCTATTGTCTTCACTGGTATTCACTATATAAGTTGGAAGTAATGCGAGAACATATTATTGCTTAGTGATAAATGAATTTGTTAGTATTCAATTATTTTTTTATGCTTTAAGTTGCAAGGAATATATAAGCACATGTTATTATTTAATAATAAATAGATTTGTGAATGTTCAAATAATTTTTTTATGCTTGTAATTGATGTGATTAAGCGTTACATGTAACTATAATAGCCATTGGGGTTTATTTCAAAACTTTGGAAATTTTTAAAAATTTTTATTTATATTTTTAGAATATCTATTAGTGTTTTCATGAAAAATGATATAATTGTTAAGCACATTACACATTTCATGTAAATTTTTGATACTAAGATTATTTTTTCATGATATGCAAAAAGTATATTCAAATATAAGGTGCACTCCATATAAAATTTTGACATTGGGACTTTTTTTCCCCCATAGAGTATGCATAAGTGATATTAAAATATATAAAAAAATTACATTTTATTAAAAATCAGTTATATATCATGAAAGAAAGGTTGCACATGCTTCCAAATGCATCTATAAGAAAAATTAATAAAGGATATTAAAATATGTATAAGTGATATATATTCAAATGTATGGAAGGAAAGTGCATTTTATTAAAGATCAATCGCATATGGTGGAATAAAAATTGCATATGCTTTTAAAAATATTCATAAGAGAAATTAATAAGAGATAATCAAATGTGTAAAAGTGATATTTGAATATATAAAAATATTATATCTCATTGAAAATCAATCACATATTATAGAACAAACATTGCATATGTTTTATTGAAGATAATTTGCATATTGTGGGAGAAACATTGTATGATATATTAACATTAAATAACCTTATTTGACATATTGATATAAAAGGACTCGTGACTATTGATAGCGAATGAACTTGGACAACACATTGATGACAAAAAACTTCACTCAATTTTTTTTTTTTTATCATTCAAGGGATTCATGTCATTTAACCTTCACCAATAATTGACAATGAAGGATCCCATTTCCCAAACGCTCTCGAGACTTTATTAGCAATTTAATTTCTGGTCACGTCTTTTTGAGCAATTTTTCCAAGCAAGAAATGAAAGAAGTTCGACTGACCAAATTGTGCGCTTGTGTGCGCGGGAGACATAATAAATTTAATTTTACTAGCTCGAAAAATTAAGCTCATGTCAACCGAAAAGCCCATCACGAGTTTTATCAAATATACCCCCTTTTGTTAAAAAAGAGTAAGTCATTCTTCACCGAACACTCTAATAAAATAATTTATTTTTAAATTAATATTATCTTTTTATATTTATTTTTATTTAATAAAATATTTTATTTTAAAATAAATATAAAGTAACTTATTTATTATGAGTACTTAAAAAAAAAACACATTATTATACCTTAAAATATTAAAAATATTTTACATTTTTTAATATTTTACCTCTAAAAAAATACCTTACAATTTTTAATAAAAGAAGTATCACTGTATTTCATTTTTTTAAAATAATATCTCAAGTTTTCAACCAAGTGCCTTGCTCCTTCATCATAGTTGGCAAAGCTTTAATATTCAGGTAAATTTTCAAATCATTTTTTTTTTAGGTAAAGGGATTTTTGGGCCAATTTATTAATTAATTGAAGCTAAATTTTGTTCTCGTCTAATTTTAAGGACGATTTCTATTATAACTCAATTGTTTATTTGTACTTTGTAGAGAGTCTACAATGAAAAATATTATTCATAAGTTATAAAAAATGTAATTTCTAATAAAACATATAGACACCAGAGACGAAACTAGGATAAGAAAGTTGGGGGGAAAATTTTAATAAAATTTATTAAATATATTGATATATATATTTTTTTTGTTTTTTATATTTAGAATAAAATTGTGTCAAACATACTTTTTATATATTAATATGAAAAAATTGCGTGATGAGAATGATTTAGAAGCTTATAATTTTTTACAAGAGATAAAAAAATAAATTTAGGCCATATTTTTATACATGTAATAAAACCTCTAAATAACTACATATTTGATGCACTTAAACTAAAATTAACCAATTTTATATGCAAGTTAAATAATAAAAATAAATTTATTTAAATAATTAATCAATTTTTACAGTAATAATTTATTCAAGAAAAATTTCTTTTTCAAACAATCTAGTAAAAAAAAATATATAATATAAATATTAGAATTGAATCTTTATTAACAAAAATTTAATTTTATGATGTATCCATAATAAAAATATTTTTATAAATCAATATAATAGATAAATTATTCTTACTTAAATAAAAAACTATATATACATGCGTATGTGAGAGAGGGAGGGAGAGAGCAACATATACACATATATATAAGATGGGAGGCCATCCAACCACATACAAAAGCACATTCCATGAAGACCCTCCACATACAAATAATTACGCTCATATACTAATAATTGGTAATTAAGAAAGTTAAATCGGTTTATCTTAAAATTTAATTCTTGAAATATGCAACTGTGTTAGGTAAAAATGTTAAAGGTATTCTTGATATATGAGTGAGATTGTCATTGATGATAAAAGTCTTATATAGCAAGAATTTGAATTCGTCTGAAATTGATAGGGCTACTGCCTGTTTGGATAAGCCATGAGAATCAGTTATTCGTACGGAAACGTGGTTCGGTTAAAAAAAAAAAAATCCAAAAACCTTTATTTTTGAATAATTGATTATGTGACCCCAAACCACATTTTTGCCTAAGCTATTATCACCAGCTTATCAATTACAATTATACTTGTTTGAGCATTTATTACTTGTCAAAATTTTTAGTCTACCAATTATACCCATGGCTTTGTGTAATGTATCAACAGAGAGTGTGAACAGTGGAAAATCAAAAAAGTGAATGCTCGAGACAAAAAGAAAAGTGTTTAAAAAAATGAAATAAAAATATTTATTATATATTATTAAAGAGAACAAAACGTTAAACGTGAAAAAAATAAAAAAACTGTATCATTGATGAAAAAATATTATTAAATATTAATATTATAAATTTATAATAATTAAATTTAAATTTATATTGTTTATCAATTTATACGTGTTAAATAATTTTTAAAATATGAAATGTATCATTAACATATTTTTATTAAATAAATAAAAATAAATTTAATAATATCACATGCAATTTTATTTAACCTAAAACTCACGTTCTTTATTGTTATTTATACATTTAAAATTAATTTTAATTAAAATCATTCAAAAATTTTTAATTTTATCCAAATTAATTTTAAAAAATATCATTCAAGCACCATCAAATTATAATATAATTAATTATAATTAAAATTTATTATGTTAATCAATTTTTTATGAGCATTTATACCTAATTGAAATACAAAGACACCCTTAATGTTATACGTTTTGGAGATGGAATGAAAAAGTCGAAAGGCAGGGGTGAAAGTGTCAATCCATCATTTAAATACCAGTATCATTTTCGATTTATTTTATAATATTCAACCAATTGTACAGACGATATATCAACGACGCAGCCATCGCCAAATTTTGCAAATGAAGAACGTCGTCATGTATCATGCGTCATAAAGTGATCACAAAGCAGAAGCCTGAGGTTGTTGCCACAGGAACGTGGCATCAGCATTCTCGTCGCTGCAATAGAGACAAGGGTGTTGCTCAAAGCCTTTGGACTGAAGGATCTTCCTGGCCCTCACAACAATCTCTCTGTTACTCAACGGAGCAGGATCCTCCACAAGCACCATCTGAACGGCGTTGCTGAAAGCTCCGTAGGCTTTTCCACCTGTCACGGCGGGGTCCATGTCGGCGGAGGTTTCGTCAGCCTGGCATCCACTGAGTAGAATTCCATCGTCGGGCTTCGGGGTCTGGAACAAGTCTAGCTCCACAAATGGCAGCCTGAACCTCAAACTTGCTTCGGATCCGAAGAACTCCAACAAGTGGGTTCCGACGTCGGAGCTGCTTATGTTTGTTAACGATGAAAGGTGTTGTAATACGGCGGAGAAGGGGATGGTCTTAGGTTTGGTGGTAAGGTTCACTGTGTCGTCCTTGTGGACGACCGACGATGGTCCAATCTGTTCCTTCTCTTTGTCAATGAGCCCACCACTGTGGCACGAGTCTGACAAAATCGTCAGACTCGCTCTCTTGGGAACCCGGTTCACCAATTGCCTCAAGTCCAAATCTACATGTACGAGCATCAAGAATCTCGAGTCATATTATGTTACAGCAAGTGTTTAGATATGACAAGTTAGTGAAAGAGACGAACCAGTGATGAGATTGAAATCACAAGGGACAATGGCTTCTTCTTCGCGGCGAAAGGGGAAGCCTGGTTTCATGGAGGAGATTCTGGTTCCATGTCCACTATAGTGAAAGTAAAGGACGTCTCCTTCTTGAGCTTGATCAACCATGCGAGCAAGAGCGAGCTTGATGTTAGCTCCAGTGGGCATGGTTGAGCCTGAGCCTGAGCCTGAGCCTGCAGGAGCAACATCAGTAAGCAACTCAATATTGGAGGGCTCGAATCCGAACCTGTTGATCAGAGTGTCTCGCATGGCCAACACATCGTTTATGCAGCCATGAAGTTCGTTTGGAGTGTCGGGGTAGTTGCACCCAACCAATACAGCCAACCTCTTACTGTTTCTAATTCCTTCCATTTTCTTTGGATGTTGTGTTGGTATGAGCAGGTGAATGGTGATGGACTCTTCATTGGCTTCAGCTTTTATATTAAGAGACCGCCTTGTTTTGCTTTGGATTTGATACAAGTAGCCTTGAGTGTATTTTTTATTGACTTTCAAGTCAGGGAAGTTATATGATTGAACATTTAAGAATTTTTGTTGTCATATATAAGAAATCCTTCAACGACCTGCAATTAGAGATTTGGGTTTCGAGCCAGAGCATACGTCTCTGGTTGCAGGACTTGCAAGCCAGAAGCAGAATGAGGGCCTTCGGAATTCCGTGCAAGCATGTTCTTAATTTTTGCTTTTTATGTGAGTTTGAAATTGTGACTCTCACATTTGTCAGCCGCTTTCGACATTAGGGTATCTTGCCGATCAATCCCATTATAAAAAAGTTTTTTTTCTTTTTTTGCTTCGTCAAGTAATCAGCGGGTATTTCAGGAGATTGAAGCCTAGACACACAATTCTGTTAAAAATCTTTTCCATAAAAGTTGGTATTGGCGTATACTAGTATTATTTTTTTCATTGGCGTGCAAGCAGATGCAATTCTCATACAATATCGTGCATTGATCCCGGGTCATCCTATCATCCGCTATTCTTGTTTGATTTTGTAAATTAAAAAATAAGAATGAATTAGCAGATAAAAATGATGCGTAACGAATCAAGACTCGTGTGCTTTAAATGTATCCGGTATATCGACCTCGGAAGGAACGTGAGCGTATGCGTGCTTTGGTACAAGCGTGTGTTTACTGTTTTCAATAAAGAACAGAACCGGTAGTCATTCGTTGTCAGTTAAAATATTACGTTCTTGATAAATGATTGTGTTCACTTGAATATCTTGATTTGAAAAACCAATTAAAAGTGTGATTTGAGGCAGTTGACTCATAATCCATTTAACATTCAACCATTTGAATATATTCTCATGTTTCTCTCTGTATGAAGTTGTGAATGCATCTTTACTTGGTAAATGCTTGAGGAATATAAACAGAAGAGTAAAATGGATAGCGTCACTCTTCTCTTGTCCCCAAGGATCAATCAGCTTTCTTCAGAAGAAACAGGGGACAAAGAACTATGGCTATGAATTCAGAATTAAAGCTTCGGATAACTCCTTAACTGAGAGCTAATCTGAAATTTGAAAATTTTGTTTGGATAGCAAAATTTTGAAAAGAGCTTTTGACTCAAAACTAGGCTGGGTTCAGGCCAAAAGAAAAAACCTAGGTTAGGTTTTTTCTTTTTTCGGACCAACAGGGAAATACTGATATCATTGAACGCAAGAAGAAACAAAGTCTAATAGCAAACAAAAGTCATAAGCCTAAAGGCAAAGACCTAGCTACAAAACAGACTAATTACAAAAGCAGACAAATTAGCCAATTCCTGCTCTATCCCTGTTGGTCATAGGTTGAGCATTGCCACTTGAAACCGGTTGCAAGTCTGAGCTAAGGATGCTGAGGAGAGAGGGTGAAGGTTGAAGAAGATATCCCTCAGCCACCATCCCCCTAAGCAAAAGGGTTGCAATTGAGTCTGCAGCAAAGTTGCCTTCTCGTCTTGTAAAAGAAAGACTCACATCAGAATAGGATTTAAGTTTGTTCAAAACATCACTAAGCATATTATGATAAATCCATGGACCGCATGATATATTCCCATGAAATGAGATATTAAACAAAGTCTTACAATCTGTTTTGATAATCACAGGTTTAGGATAGAAGTCTTGCCCCAGAGTCATGCTTTGTTACATGCTTTCAGTTCAGCCAAAAAACTTGAATCTATAGTGACTTTTTCAATCCATCCTTTCAAGAGAGTGCCTTGAGAATCTCTACAAATCACCCCTATGCGAGCACCCGTAGAGGTAGAGAAAGCCCCATCACAATAGATTTTGATAGTATTATTCTGTGGAGGCTCCTACTTTGGATAAATGGGGGAATGGTTTCCCTGCTTATCCAAAAGATAAGATCTAGATCGTTTAGGTTTTAATTTAGACGATCCAAATTTAAAATATTATTTTATATTAATTTATAAAAGTAAAAAATTATACAAATTATAAAATAATTTTAATAATTTTTTTATTTTTAATTTGATCTAGATTTAATTTAGAAGCTCTAATTTAATATTAAAATTTTTATAATTGAATTTTTTAAATTTTTTAGATGCACTCTGTATAGTCCAGTTATTATATTTGAATTGCTGGACTGTGTAAAGTTTATATGAATAATCAATATACATTAATTATAAAAATTTTAATATTAAATTAGACCCTATAAATTAAATATAGATCAAATAAAAAATTATTTTATAATTTTAATAAATTTTTTATTTTAATAAATTAATATAAAATAATATTTTAAATCTGAACTATGCGGATTTCATCTCTTGAATGAGCACCGCGTGCTCATCCAAGAGGTGAGCAAGGAAACTGTTTCCGGATAAATGGCAGGACCAATAGGAGCATAATCATTATCACCCTCATACTTATGCCTCCTGAGCTCCAGGACAACACCTTCAGTAATGCTAATGACTCAAAACAGGATTGAGTTCAGCCCCTTTAAAAATGGATGCACAATGCGTTTTTCAAATATTCCATAGTAAGCATGCCACATATGCCAAATTCATCAAGTGGACTGGATCTGCATAGAAAATATGAACACCATCTTGCTAAAGATTGAGTTTGTGACATATCCAGCTGAAAGGAAAAAGGGCAACCAAACCAAATTCTGTAGGTCCAATCGCATCTGAAAAAAAGGTGCTCAATTGATTCTGGGTAAATTTTACAAATTGGATAGAGAGGATCTGGTGAACACTTTCGGTTAAAAAGGGACTCCTTTGCGGCCAAAGAATTAGAAAGTTCACGCAAATAAAATGCCTAATTTTTGGTTGAGTTTTGAGCTGCCAAATATTAGGCCAGAAGTGATCTGGTAAACGAAAAGATGAGCTAGAGTTGTTCAGATTTGATGGATGCTCTCTGGGATCATTAATTAGGTATCCTGCTTTAGCAGTATATGAGCCATTCTATATCCTATCTAAACTAAAGAATCAGGTTGGGAATGAGATGGGATGTAAATATTATGAATGATGATGATAAAGGCCGAACACATGAGATGTTCAACACAATGGAGGTCCCAATTACCATTTGATACAAGATTAGCAACTTTCTGGGTGGTATCTATAGCATCTTCGGTAGTATTTTCAGGAAGAAATTTTGGCATGTTAGGTATCCAGTGATCAGACCAGACCCGAATATTAGTACCATCACCTACTTTCCAGCAGGCATCTTTTAGCATAAATTCTCTACCAGTAAGTATACTACTCCAAGCCCAGGAAGCTCTGGGGCCTTTGGAGGTTTGCAAGAAAGACTTATTAGGAAAATAAACAGATTTAAGTACTCTTGCCCATAGATGATCAGGATTATTAATAAGTCTCCATGCAATATTGGCCAGCAATGTGTTGTTGAAAAGTATGAAGTCTCTGAATCCAAGACCGCCATCTTTCTTTGGGGCACAAAGTTTACTCTACGCTTTCCAATGTAAGTCTCCCCAAAAAAAGCTTGCCACCATACCATCAACTTCTATGCAAGTGTGCTTGGGAAAATTGAAACAAGTCACTGGAAAAATAGGTATGGCATTTATGATAGATTTTATCATAACTTCTCTACCAGCAAAGGACAGTATCTTACTCTTCCAGCTATGGACCTTTTTGCCTACCTTATCGTGCACATAGGCAAGAGCAGCAATTTTGGATCTACCCCATATAATTGGTAGTCTAAGATATATAGCAGGTTTTGTGACAGCCTTAACCTTCTCCCAGGATGCTTGGTGAAAATGTCCATTGAATCCATCGGGGCCGAGGGCTTTTGTGGCCCCTAAATGAAAGACAGCTTGCTTGAGTTCCTCTCTTGTTATGCAGGAAATGAGCCATTCATTCTGCTCTTCACTCACACTTGGGTGGATGTATGAAAGAACCAAATTAAGGTCCTTAGTTTCCCTGATTGAGAAGAGATTGCCATAAAAGCCAGAGATTACTTGCGCCATATCTCTTTCGGTATCTGTCCAAAGGCCCATAGGGGTCATGAGTCTCAATATTTGATTTCTCGATCTTTGAATCTGAGTGGATTGATGGAAAAAATGGGTATTTTGATATCCAACTGTGACCCATTAAATTCTAGACCGCTACTACCAGTAATTCTCCTTTCGTCTCCAGAATTCTTCAAGCTCCGAAGAGAGAGCTTTCAATTGTTGCCTGCTTTCTTCAATAAAAGAAGAGCTTTTAATCTTTGCAATCTGATTCAAAAGACTATTTATTGCAGTTTTGTTATTGGGAAAATCCCCTTTACTCTCTTTAGACGGGGCTTTACTGCATCTTTTAGTGCATGATGAAATTGGGGAACAATAAGTGCTCCTTAAAGATCTTCAAAGTATCAAGGTGTCTTGATAACACCCTTAAACTCAGGATGAGATGCCCAGTTGATTTCATACTTGAAGGAAGGGGGCGATTTTCGGTATTGATAACAAAAACTAACCCATTGAAAGTGGTGGTCAGAAGCAACTGATTCCAAGATAAAGGAGAAGGCCTTTGGGAATTCAGTCCTAAATCAGGTTAAAAGCCACAATTTTTGGCCTATGGCATTGAGTTGAGATGTTGAGTTCTAAAACACTTTGTTTTCCGTGCCCTCATTCTTTCTCTCTCATCTTCTCTCCCTTGAGCCGTGGACCTTTCCTTCTTTTTCTTCTCTTTAGGTGCATGCAAGCAACCCCACATATTTTAGTTTGATCAGCAATTTTCGATAATACGTTTGTCTCGGGAAAATTGTTTAGTTTGATTTACTAAATATAAAAAAATTTAGAATTTAATGTTATATAATTGAAAAAATAAATTTTTTGGTCCCTGCACTTTACTCGTATTTTGCTATAAGTTCCTACACTTTTTTCAGTGTTTTAAATTTATACATTTTTGTTTTTCGATAAAAAAAATGTTTTCCCTATATAATTTATCAATTAATTCTTTGCATAAATATTTTTTTAATTAAAATAGTTCTACCTCTTCTTTGCACAAATATTTATCAATGGTTCCTATTTTGATAATTTATTAGTTTACTTTAGATTTTTTTTTTACTATCTTTTTTAAAAAAATTTTACTTTAAAATTTATTATTTCTTCCTAGTCAAAAGAATATTCTCTCTCCGTTCTTATTGTAGGATAACTTTTATTTTTGATCCTTCATATAAAACATATGGAATGATATTCATTATAATTTTTTTAATTTTACCTCTATTATAAATTTAATTTTATAACTCATTATATACTGTTTATCACTCTTTCTATATTTAATATAACTAAAGTTAGAAAAATGTTTATCATTTAATTCTACCTTTTCAAAAATTAAATTTTTTTACTTATCAATGTATATTTATAATTTATTTTTTAAAAAATTGTATTTAAATTTAATGTTTTGTCCTAAAAATATATATATAAGAAAAATCATACCAATAGTTGTCATTATACATCTCAAATGACTTTTAAATCAAATCATTCAAATAAATTTCAATTTACTTGACCAACTTTTGAAAAAAGAAAGTTAAAATCACAAATTTTTTTACTAACCTTAATTGATTCTAACATCAATTGGCAAGTTTTTTAATTCAAACACACACTAAATTTAGAGAACCCATCCCCTTGATAAAGAGTATAGATGAGGCTCATGACTTGGAACACAAAATCCTTCCAATCACGTCTCCGAGAATTAAACTAAACCGGCAACTTGTGGCAGAGAAGAAAATTTTTTGTAGCATGCTAAGGAACAGGAACAGGCCTATCTTTTTACCTTTTTCTTCCTTTTCCTTTATTCTTTATCATTAACAAAGAACTACATTCATCAAGACAGTATGCGACTAAACAAACCTTTTGTACATAGATGCCTAAAAAATTGCCATATACTGCAAAAGAATAGCCTAACAATAGGAAGCCTCAGATATATTTCATATTCCTTCAGAAGAGAAGGGTTGGGAAAGTCTGTACAGCAGCATATTTAAAGATCTTTCCAAACGTTGTAGTCATTACTTGTGCCATTGTAGTTGATTATACTGTCCTGGCATCCTAAAAAGAATGTACTCCTAATCGGATCTATGTTCACTAATGCATGGGCCGTGCTACTGGGGCTGGCAGCAACAGCAACCTCATCAGCACCAACAATCACTTCAGCATGACCCTTGTCGGCCACCTTGTTGTTCTCCAACTGCAAATAGCTTTCAAGTCTTCTATATTAAATTAAATTGATATACAAATCGAAAGTCATAACATAAAGATCCCAGCTATTTGCCTGATCCTGTTACAGTGCTGATGCCACATGCTTGAGTAGCTGAAATGCACTGTTTCAACAGAAGTAAAATGTTGCATTTTGCCTCTATTCTTCTCAGATTAAAATGGGTCAATTGCAACTATCTATTCATGGGGATATCCCAATTTTCTATTAAAACACTCAAACCTTTTGTCTCAATTATGTGTCAAGCAATTCACTGAGGAATGCTGAATACACCGTCATGTGAACAACCAACAACAACAAAAAGAAACCTTATCCTACTAAATGGGGTCGGCTACATGAATTGTACAATGTCATTGTACTAAATCAGCAAAGGGCTGAACCTCATGCATGAATATTCATCAAGAGACAATTCATCTTGTGCCTTAATGGAACAGAGCTGCAGTTCTAGGTCTCAGACACAACTGAGCATTTGCTGGAGGGAACAGCAGGGAAGTTTCTGTGTTTTAGGATTTAGAATGAATGGCTAGGATTATTTCAAGAAAAGATAGCCGTGATAGCCTATTTAAATCAAAGAATAGAGGTGAAACATGTTTTATTCATCTTGATGTTGCGTTTCAGCTTCTCAAACATGTTATGTCAATGTTGTGGTAGGATCAGGCAAATAACAAGGATCTTCCGAGGCGCACAGCAGACACTACCATTGCAAGGTGCAGGGAATCTGCATTAACAAACCTTGTTTTTTTCACCTGGGGTTGCCAGCCGGTGCATGCAGCCAGAAACAGAAAAAAAACAGAATATGGTAAAAACAAGTAGGCCTTTATTCTTTTTGTTTCGCAAATTAATCTTGCATAGAACCAGAAAGAAATTTGAAATTTTCAACCAACCTATGATTTTCTGGAATCAGAATGAGTTGTTTAAACAAAGCAAAAACATAAAGCTATTAATTTACTAACTATTTATCATAGAAAGTTAACCTGATCTGAACACTTGGATAAGAAAAGAACAGTTATTTAAACAAACGGATGCAATGTTTTCATCATTAAATTGTGTCATGCATATCAGTTTGCAAGCATTTTAGACTGAAAGCTATATTTCTCAACAAAATTTTACATGCAGGGAAACACATAATAGAACCAATTAAATGCTGCCAACTGTTAAGTTGGACACAGGAGCTTACCCTAAATTTTGTTGCAGCACCCCAGATGACAAATGTCTCGTTGCAATTGTGATGTCTGTGATTTCCTCTTACCTTGCCTGGACGAATTTCTCCAACATGAACTGAAGCGCAAGAGACAGCTCCACCTGTAAAGAAGCAGGCTTCTTTTTCAGATTCCAGAAAAGAACACAAACACATAAATTTTCTTTTTACGTATGAAATCCCGCAAACAATGCGCGTCCTATTTCCAGCCTATTCAATTAAGAGAGCAGTACATAGACAGTCCGTGAAGTTAAGCTTCATTCCATTCTGAATCACGTAACTTCAATACATCTAAACTTATGGAAGAAACAGATCGACGCAAAAGGTGAAAAATCATGGAACCAAAGGGAGCCAATCTCCAAATGAAGCTTATGTACACAGTGAAGTAGTGCAGTTATCGTTACAACACAAACGTACATATCGCAAAACTAAGAAAGGAAAAAAAGAAAACGCGCGGCAGAAAACAAAGCGAAATATACCAGAAATGCCCGAAGCAAGGGCCAGAGAAACGGGATCAAGCAACCAGCCACGCTTATCTTTAGCAATTTGGGAAGGGAACCCGGAGCTAAGCCTAACCAAATTGGCCTTCATATCGTCGGCGACGCTCCAATCCGCGGCGGTTCCGATGGAGGAAGGTGGGAATTGGGAAACGCGCTGAAAGCGGATAGAGATCCAAGTGATGAAGAGAAAAAGGCTGAGAAGGAAGGGAAGAGAGTGAGGCCTCTGGAGAAACTGAAGGAGAGAGGCGAGAAAAGAGGGTCGGATCTGGAAGGGGTTATCGGAAGAGGGGCTGTTTATATAGACGATTCTTCGAGGGTTCGCCTCCATCGGGCTGCCCCTCTCCGTTTGAGCTCTCATATTTGCTTCTTCTGTGTTGTATATCGATCGATATTTCTGCGCCCTTGAGTTGTATTTGTATCGGTGCGTTTCTTCTCCTAGACAGCGTTTATCTTCTACTCCATTATATTTGGCTTCTCCTTCCTCAGGTCCCCTGAAATAAACTGGATTGACGAAAATAAATGATGATGCGAAGATAAATCCACGCATGGTACATTTACTCCCTCGCGTCCTTTTCAAGTGTGTAGATAAAAATATTTTTTATTAAATTTATAAGTCATTTAAGTCGATTTTCATTATAAGTTTTTTTTTTATTGTGGGAAAGGTGTGTTGTTAATATATAGTCATATATTATATATAATAAGAACATAATCAAAAATTTATTTTTTTAAACAAAGTTAATAAATTTTAATATTCTTCTTAATTCCACTAAAAACTTGTTAAAATATTTATGAATAAGACCTAAAGAGTAGAGGTTTTTTTGGGGTAAAAAGGTCAAATGATAATATTAATAATAAAAAATTCTTACAAATGTGAGTAAATCATAAAATGGCAAGAAGAAAAGAAAAGAAAAGTTCAGCAGGTCACCGTCTGCTTATATGAGAAACAAAAATAAAACACTTGGGGCATTTGGAGAATATTAAACGAGATGTTGTTGATATTTCCCGCTTCTGTAGATGGAGTAAAAGCACCTTGATGATGAAATATTTGAAGATCTCCGAGCTGACAACTTGATTGGTTAGTTGTTTTTAATACTTAGTAATTCGGATTTTCCATTGATCATACGTGACATTTCTTCTGATAAGATGATTTGGAACCGTCTCCGTATTAGTAAGAGGTGAAAATTGCTGAGGTCCAATGTCCCTGCCTACTATCCTTGTTTTGCTACCAGCTGTACAATTCCAATTGCTGGCGATCTTGAGGAAATAAAAACGTCATGAGAATTCCTTAATAATCTGGGATGGGAATTGATTAAAAGTACCATTCTAAATTCTAATTTGACCGGATTAGATGCGGAGGGGGAAAAAATCCCTTCTTCAATATCAAGTTTACCTTCTTTAAAAAGTAGAGTTAAAAATAGGGTAAATAAATAAATTAAACTTTGACTTCTAAGTTCAATAATATTTTAGACTCTAACCCTATTTATTATTCAATTTGTTCCTCAATTTTTTAAAAAACGATGCAATTTAATTCTTGTTATTAATAAAAGTTAACTTTAACAATTAGTAAGTAAAAATGATATAAAAAGATATCAAAAATTATAAAAAATGATAAAAAAAACTCTTTTCCCTCTTATGTAATTTTCTAGGTATTTGTCTGTAATTTTTGATGCATTTTATTGTCATTTTTTTGTCAAAGGTAATTTTTATTAATGATAAAAGTCAAATTATACTGTTTTTCAAAAGTTGAAAGAACAATTCACATAATAAATAATTTTAAGGTCTATAATATTGTTGGACCTAAAATTGAGAGGATAATTTACTCATTTACTTTAAAAAATATAGGTCAACTTGAATTATATGAGTTGACATTTATGAATGGTAAAAATATGAGTTGAGTTAGTTTCAATCTATCTTTTATGAGTTGAAACTTGAAAAAATTTCAATTGAACTATTGTGAATTGGTATGTTAAATGAGTTAACCCACCAATCCATTTTTTCATTAACTTTTTTTTAAAAAATTATACTTTAACAATAAGTTTTAATATAATATTCTATGTTGTTGGAAAAAAAAATCACATAATAGGTGCATGAGGTAGATCAATTGCATCTTGATTCATTTCAAATGTTTATGTGATTGAATGAGCTATATAATATGAGTTAAATTAGAATTGGTGATTCGAATGAGCTGAGTATATTTGGGTCGGGGTTAATTCAGATTAACTTCAATAAGCTTGAACTTATGAAAAACTTGAAAAGCTAAATTTGGCCTATTCAAGTCACCTCAAATATCCAAATTATCACTTTTTCATTTTTTTAAAATGATTATTTTTATTTTATAAAAAATATAAAAGATAAAAGATTCAAACTCTTTTAAAAAAAACATTTGGGTTTTAATATTAAAATACATTTTAAGCATTATTTTGTAGATATTTTATATATTAAAAATAATAAATATATGATAATATAAATATTTTTAATTCATTTGAAAAGATATCTACAATAATGTGTTCAAATTTATAGTATCCTAGCATAACTAAAAATTTAATAAATTAATTAATAGTTAATATATTTTAAAATTATAATTTTTTTGCTTGAGTATTCGGGCCAAGTTTAAATCTAACCAAGCTTGGCCTAGAATTTTCAAGTATATTCTAGCCAACCCAAACATTACAAAAATATTTTATCAAGTATAGCTTTAAATTTTTCAAGTTTATTGAGATTGGTCAGTTGAACTTAGCTTGAATTATCAACTTTAGGTTAATCAATTATTCCTAATCTATTAGGATTAGCTCATCTAGTGCATAAGTTATCTAGTCTCAATTATAAAAAGATCTACTTTTAGTTGGATTATTTCCTTTTTCAATTCAATTTAACCTTTATAATAAGTTATTTAAGTTGATTTATATAAATCAATTCATGTTTCTAACTCTATTAAAGAATGAATTTTTTTTTTCAGATTTAATATAAAAATAACCAAGCTCTCTTATTTATGCCTGACAGAATTAAAACTTTCTTAAAAAATTGAATGCGCCTGATCTAAACGGACGGTTCCATACATTCCATGAAACCTCGAGAATCATTCAACAACAACTTGATGTCTATACATAGCCCGTGGGAGAAGTAGACGTTGTTGTTAGAATCAGGACAAATTGAATTAAATGTAGTTTCTTGAAGTAAACTAGCTCCATTAAAAAGAATTTCAAGGCAAAATAAGTGCATCATATTATTTATAATTTAGTCAATTAAAATATTTTAAATTATTTAAATAAAATTTTAGGTAATATTATTTTAAGTAATTTTACTTGCATAAGAGAATATATATTTAATTTATTGTTTCTTTTATTATTATTATTATTATTATTATTATTATTATTAATGTTATAATTAATTTATATTTAATGTCACTTGAATGTCATGTTTTTGTTGAATATATTATAAATGGTGTGTGTATTCGATTCATTTAAGGATCATTAATTAGTAACTAATGTATTGCCCAATTCAACAACTTATTGATCGCGTTCTCCCAAAAGTGATTGTCATGTCTGCTCTTTGTTGGAATCAGATCAAATCAACAGATTAAATGTGATTTCTTGAAGAAGATCAACGGCATCAGATATCAATGCATGATCACCAATCAGCGACTGATTTAATGCCAAATTCAAGAATTTCCTTGCGAATGAAAAAAATTGATTTAAAAAACGGAAAACGATTTTTTTTTTCCAAGAAGAAAAACATCAAAAATCGAGGTGTGACAGTATAAGTGCTTAAAAAGAGAGCCACGCTTAAAGCAAATATGTGAAAGCACTCTAGAAACCAGATGAAAGAACCGTAACCTACCAAGGAAAAACAAAACTGGAGGGTCGTAGACTTGCGTTTGACAATCCAAGCATAAGGGGCACGATCCTTATAACAAACACTTTTTTTCATCTTCACCTAAGTGATTGTTTGACGGAACAAACACTCTCTACTAATTATCACGAGAAATGAAAAATCTTCTCAGGGAACATAGTCCCTCACAAAGCACGTATATGGTGGGCGGTTTAACGTCGCAACGTTGGCCAACCAAAAAAAAAAAAAATCCTCTGTACAGTGCTGTAAAATACAACATTTCAAATATTGCGTATTTTTTACCCAAAAAAAAGTGTATTTTAATATTTAAATAATTAATGTTAGCTCCGCAGTGTCTTGATCAAAGAGTTAATTATATTACTTCACCTATAAAACGTGGTTCCTTTCTTTCTAGTAGAAATAAGCGATACACTGGACGCGTCTATCATCAACCACCATCAGTTCGGCTGGGGGTTGGTCAATGAAACTGAAGCTACAATTCAAAGAGCTAATGACCTAATTTAGCAAGTCTATCAGCAACAATAACATAGTTGGGGTCTTAGGGACCACGGGTGGGGCGTAGGATCTCCCCTTTTTCTCTCCATTTCCTTAATTTTAACAATACAATTTGTGCGGCTTTTATCTCACAATTTAATATCATTATTATCTAAACAATTTATTCTAAAAATACTGTTTGAGTTTTTGCGCGTGATATATATATATATATATATATATTAAAAAGGAAGATTCTGGAATTTTTTATTAAAATAAACAGTGTCATTTAAAAAAACAGATGTTATTACATTTTTTCAAACTATTTAATTTAAAATTGTATTCTTATGTTTCAACTTAAAATTATTATATATTTAATCATTATTTTTATCTTTATTGTATTATTTATAAATAAAAATATTAAAAATTGAGAAATATTAATACGTATATATAAGTATATTATTTATAAATTTAAAAAATGTTCCTACCAAAAAATTCAAAACTGTTTATATTTTTTACATTTTTCAATCAATTTATAAATTTAAAAAACTGTTTCAGTGGGGAAAATATTAAAGTGTATATATATCAAAATATTAGTCATAAATTTCAATCAATATGTCACCTAAAATCAAAATGAAGTTTGCAAGTAGGGCAAGTGAAAAATGCTAGACCATATGTTACCGGAAGAACATCGCATCAGAAAAAGGTAAAGATTGGTTTACTCAATATTCACTGGGACGGTTTTTAATTCTTTTGGCAGGAACATTTTTAAAAATTTATAAATAATTAATATTTTTAATCTTTTAAATAATATATTTATATATACACATTAATATTTCTCCATTTTTGATATTTTTATTTATAAATAATATAATAAAGATAAAAATAATGATTCAATTTATAATAAATTTGATTTGAAACAAAAAAATAAAATTTTAAACTAAACAGTTTGAAAAAATGCAATGGCATTTGTTTTTTTTTAAATGACACCGTTTATTTTGATAAAAAATTCCAGAATTTTTTTTTAATGCACAAACTGAAACAGTTTTTTTAGGATGAATTGTTTAAGTAATAATGATATTAGATTACGACTGATACTTTAATTTGGATGATAAAATAAGAGCCACACAAATTGTACAGTTGACATTAAAAAAATAAAGAGAAAAAAGAGAAAAGGGAGAGGGAGAGACCCTGCACCATGGTAGAAGGAGTGGAATATCTCTCTCTCTTTTTTTTTTCATTTTTATCTTTTAAATATTAATATTTTAATATCTTACTTTTACCTTTTAAATATTAAAATGTTTTTGTCTTTTGGAGAATGGCAATAAAATATTTTTAAAATATTTAAATGATAAATAGGTTGTACAAAATGTAATAATTATTTTTTAATCTCTAAAGGCTTGTCATTCTCTAAATTGTGATTGACCCTCTCTTTGTGAGCTCTTTGATTTGCTAAAGGTTGCCATTAAAATGAACACCGACCAAAAACATGGAATTAACATTCAACATCTTCCCAAGTTCTTCTACACCATCTGATTCAAAAATCAACATGAACAAGCATGAAGCTTGAGCCTTCTAGTCAAAAGCTCAAATGGATGACATGGTGGGACCATTCTCTAGCATGAACAATACCAGAAATCAAATGACGGTTCTTAGTACCTTTAAGCACCACAAGAAGCATAGCCAATTTGAGAGCGAAAGTCGGCACCCATTCTACCATAACCCCAACAGGAAAATCCACCTCCCCTCCAAGTAAGGGCCTTTAGGTGAGGATTTGTACTCCCTTTGGTCCAAAAAAAAGAGCAAGTTTGTATTGGGTGAGAATAAGGTGTAGAATAGCACAAGCTTCTGGAACATCGCTTGCTGCCTGAGCAGGAAATTGGACGGCCATGGAGATCAGAGAGGAGTTTGGTCGAAGCCTGATAGCATAAAAGGAGTCCCACCAAGGATTTCGTTGACGAGACTAATGATGAATATGAGAATAGTGGAGATGATGGTGGTGATGAAGAGGCCTGCAAGTGATGATGGTGGTGGTGATGGTGGGAATAGAGGATTTAGATTTTAGAGTGTTGGTTCATGTGTTCTATCTATGATTCAAGAGCAACTCCGAAGCGAAACAAAGATCTCACAAAGGGAGGGTGAATCACAGTGAAAATATTGGCCAATATGTCATTTCTCAAAAAGTCAAACAAGACTCTATAAACTATAAAATAATTATAATATTTTGTCATATGTATTTATTATTTGAATATTTTAAAGATATTTTACTATTATTTTTCTTTTATCTTTTCCTTCATTCTCATGATGATAGTGAACAATTAGTTGTTCAAGTGGTAACATCATTTTATTTTTATTTTTTAAAGTGGTCTTAACATAGTTGTGTTGCATACACAAGTGTGTATTTTCCCTCCCTTCATGAAGGGCTCAATTGGAGGTAAAATATTTTTTTTTAAAAAAATCATCCTAATTAATGATGAGAAAAACTTATATACTTAAATTTATATATTTACAGTATTTATTTTTAATTAAATCAAGATATGTTGATCTTTTATTTATTATTTATTTTAAAATAAATTCTTATTATTAATATTATTAACAAATTAAAGTTTCCTTGTATTGACTTAATTGAATGAAAATAAAGTTATTTCATCTCAATTTATAAGACACCTCAATTACATATATCAATAAATTTTATTAAATATACTTTACAACTTTACCTTTTTAAAACAAGAATATAAAGTTTAAAAAATACACTTCATTAATACTCTATTTACAAAAAAATATTAAAGATATATATGCACAAATGAGAAAAATAATATTAAGAAAATATAATTAATAAAATATTATTTTGTCAAAATATCTTTTATTTTATAATGTCAAATTTTTCCAAAAGTGTTTTTATAAGGGGAGAGAGTATCAAGTATATAAGGCTACATACTTCAATTTTGTTTGGTTGCTAGAAAGAAATGTAACAAAATAAATTAAAAAATAAAAATAAAAATAAGATGATTAAAATATGAAGGAGCATAGAGGAATTATATTTATAAAGAAATCATGATAATTTAATTCATAAAATTGGTAATCATGATTCAAATTTTTTTAAGAGTGTGATAATTCTTACATTTATAATATATAATATTAAATTTTATCATATTTATCGTAAAAGGAAAGAATGATTTAAATTTTAGACATTTAGCTATTTTTATGTTTTCAATATATTTCATTCCCATTATTTCACTTTCCACCAGCCTAACGACAACACTGCAACAACACCTAAATGTGTGTTTGGTTTTCAGTTTGTCAAAAGTCAGTTTGATAAAAGTTCATTTGATAAAAGTCAGTTTAGTAAAATTTAGTTATTGTAACAAAATTTGTGTTTGAATATATTTTTTTAAAAGTCAATTTAACAAACTAAAAGTTATTTGAATTAATAAAAATTTGTTCTTTTAAAATATACTTTTAATATGTAATAACCAAAAAGAATGTTATTGTATAATAATTTAATAATTATTTTTTATTATATAAATATAATATAGTAGCAATGTTTAAAAAATGTGAAACAAATTTAAAATAACATAAAATTTAAAATGTTAAATAATAAAAAATATAAAATTTAATTTTGAAAAAAATTATGTTATAAAATTTAATATATTAGCAATGGTCACTCTCCACTTGCTCTTACCATACATAAGCTCTATCAAAGGCAACAAAAAATCGTACAAGGCCGCTGCCGTCGGTGTTAACATGAACCCCAGCACGTATTGCTTGGTGGACTCACCTCGGGGGTGATCTCTGGATGAATGAAGAGCCAGCACACCAACTCCAGTGGTGAGCAAGACAATGGCATTTATGGAGAAAGGGGTGAACTTTTGCCTGACGAGAAGGAAGGCGACGATGAAAGCGAGCTGGGTGGCGATGATCAGAGCGGACGTAGAGACGGGGAGGCGAGCTAAGCCATAAACATAGAGGTAATCATCGGGGCAAGTGAGAACATCGATGATGAAGGTTGAAAGGAACAGTCGTCAATGAAGAAGAAGGACTTGACTTGTCAAGAGAGGCAACTGTGAATGAAAGAATTGAATAGGGGAAGGAGGCAGATAGGGCATTCGCCGATTTCGAGCCAGTTGGAGAGCCAAACGTGTTTGCCACCGTGGAGGAAGTAGAGGTGACTTATGAGAGGGCCACCGCTGGTGCCTAGATGTTGGAGATGAGGAGCTCGAGATCTGTGACTAGACAGTAAAGGAGAGACGGAGAAGAGAAGGAGGAGCGACGACGGAACGATGGACGAGCGACAGACGAGCAAGTGAGAAAATGCAAAATGAAAGAGGCCAGTGTCAGATGCATGCGAAGAAGAAAAAATATGAGGATATCATGTTCTTTTATAATATTAGATACCAATCATTAATGCTCACATTGTCTGATTTGCGTTTCAAGAGCTTCCAAAAGTTACTTTCTATTTTTTCAATTTGAGATCCATTTAAAAGTGCTTTTGAAAAGCACATTTCATTTAAAAAATATATCTCAAATACCATCTCACATCACATTCCAAAAGTTAAAAATTATATTTGGAGTGTGAAACGTGAGCTTGCCAAAGGCACTCTAAGTCTCACCAATTAATGATTTCATATTTTAATTGTACTCTTATTTTTAAAATATTAAAATATTCCCCGGGCATCGCGAGGGAAACAAGTCTACTTAACGAGGAGCATAACTGGAGCAAGGGGAGCGACGGAGCGAGCCATGAGAATGCTGAAGCAGACGCTTGAAAGCTTAGGGGCAAACCTTGCATCATCAACAAGTGGTATTCACACGAAATTGAAGAGTTTAGCTGCGAATTCGATCAGGAGATACAGCAACAATAACAGCATACCAGGCTCGGTCGCCAGGGAAAAAGTGGATTGCTTAGTGATCGGGGCTGGTGTTGTGGGCCTAGCAGTAGCCAGAGCACTTGCGCTCAAAGGCAGAGAGGTATTAGTCGTTGAATCGGCTTCCACATTTGGCACTGCCACTAGTTCTCGAAACAGTGAAGTCATTCATGCCGGAATCTATTACCCTCGCAATTCCTTCAAGGTCAGTATATCTGCCATCTATTTGTCTTTGTGCTGTGCCGTCAGGTTCTACTAGCTGATGCGATCGACTCGCTGTACGAAATTCGATTCCTACTTTTATCAAAACTTCTAGTGTTGAAGTGCCGTAACTTTAAAACTAGAAATTAAAAGGGGAAAAATGAATGTGAGTTAAATTTATTTCAACCTTTTAAATTTACATTTAACTATAATATATTTTTTCCCTTAATCAGATATGTTGGGGTTGAAGAGACTAATTAAAGAAGAACAAAAGAAACAGAAAAAAAAAATTGACATAAAAGGCACCAACTATCTTACAGCATCTACCAAGTAAATATATTGTTTTCTATCATGCTGTATAATTCGGTTGTTTTTGTTTTACTAGTAATGTACCAAAGCATGACTGTAAAAATTATCTATTTAGAATGTAATTCAGTCTGCTTTGCAGGCAAGGTTTTGTGTAAGAGGAAGAGAAATGCTATATGAGTACTGCTCCAAGCATGGTATTCCTCATAAACAAACCGGTAAGCTGATAGTTGCTTCTCGATACTCAGAAATTTCAAAGCTGAATGATATAATGAATCGTGGGATTCAAAATGGAGTTGATGGCTTGAGGATGATGGATGGCTCTGAGGCCGTGAGAATGGAACCTGAATTGCAATGCATCAAAGCTATACTATCACCTCTTTCAGGGATTATTGATTCCCACTCTTTCATGCTGTCTTTAGTGGTATGCATTTCAAGGCTTCTGTTGCAATGTGCCAAATCTAAGTTCTCGCATATTTCTTGTATCAAATTTTTGCTAACTTACCAGCTTGTTTATTTGAAGTTATAATTGTATATGAACCCCCTTGTGGGTCCAGGGGGAAGCTGAGAATAACAATGCAATCTTCTCCTATTATTCAACCGTGATTGGTGGGCATCTTGAAGGAGATCAGATTTGTCTGCATGTATCAGAAACGAAGAGTGTTGAAGAATGGAATGGGAGGTCAATTTTGAATCCAGATCTGGTCCTTATCCCTAAATTTGTAGTGAACTCTGCAGGCCTTGGTGCCCCTGCCCTTGCAAAGAGATTTACTGCCCTACAAAGTAGTGAAGTTGTACCCTCTGCCTATTATGCTCGTGGTTGTTACTTCACATTGTCCAATGCTAAAGTTCCTCCTTTCAAACATTTGATATATCCCATACCAGAGGATGGTGGCCTCGGTGTGCATGTTACTCTGGATTTGAATGGTCAGGTCAAGTTTGGCCCAGATGTTGAATGGATCGACGGAGTTGATGGTATCTCAAGCTTTCTCAATAGGTACATCTTGAAAACCTCTCGGTTTCTGTTTCTCTGCTACTCCTTTCACCCTTCAAGTGTTTCTTGACAATTATTTCACTTATTTTTAACCATTCTAGCCCTTGCTTTTGTTTTGCCAATATCCTTTGGTTCAGGACATGTCTTCTTCTCTTCTTCTTCTTCTTCTTCTTTTTCTCCAATCAAGCACGGCTAGTGGAAACAGGAATAGAAGCTTTTCATATTATACTGAAAACTTCCTGGAATATGCATATAAGCAAAGTTTTTTTTTTTTTTTTAAAAAAACATCGTAAATGAAATTATCTGCTTATTACAGCTTTCGATTTAACCTGCAAAAAACTAGTCGTTGCTGTCTCTGATAGTGTTTCAAGATGGTATCCGGACTTCATGTCCTTATAATGACTAAATGTTTTGTTCTTTAATTATAAACTTGACACTTGATGCACCTAATTAAATTCATGTCTTTAGTTCCAAATATCGTTTTAGAAATGTGTTTGATTTTGATGAGGTGGTTTAATTAAGATTTGATCCCAGGTTTGACTATTCAGTACCTGCAGAGCGTGTGGAGAAGTTTTATCCAGAGATACGGAAGTATTACCCAAACCTGAAGGATGGATCTCTTGAACCAGGGTATTCAGGAATTCGACCTAAACTTTCAGGACCCCATCAGACACCTTTTGATTTTGTGATACAGGAAATTCTTTATTTCTCTTTACTCCTTAGTTCTTCTTGTCAATTACTTATCTCTTGCACTTTTACCAAAATGAATTAGCAAATTGCATTTGTCAATTGAATCGTCCCATATTTTGGTTTGAGATCCTTCATAAAGAAAAAAAAAAAAAAGTCTTGATGTGATTTTTGCAGCTATGATTCTTAGCATGTTCTCCATTTGTTTTATGAACTACATGGCAGCTGAAATGTTGAATTTGATTAAATTGAACATTTCTATTGGTCTTGAGAAAGTAAAATTACCTCTAGAGTACAAAACTAGACGTGCATGAATTGATGTCACATTTTTTTTTTTTGCGAGTAAGAAGCTTGGGGAAAAGGACAAAGCTAGTTAGCTCATATTAAATTTCTTTCCTCAGTCAAAATAATTCATCTCTAATTTTTTCTACCGCCTGGTGTATTTGCGCAGGGGGAGGAAATTCATGGGGTGCCTGGTCTTGTTAATCTTTTTGGGATTGAATCACCTGGTCTGACATCAAGCATGGCAATTGCAGATTATATTTCCGCTAGATTCCTACGATGATGCCTGGTTCTGTTTCTACAATTTGCGCATGCAAGTACTTGTGACAATGTAAAACTTGTAAAAGGTCGAAGCTGTAGCAGTATTGCCATGGACCGTCCACTAGGCGATTTTTTTCCCTTCTCTTTTCTTTATCATGATTTAATTTTATATACATTTATATGTAATATAAAAATTAAACAAATGAATGATATATAGTATGATTTTATTATTATTTTTTAATATTCAATGATAAATTTATACTAGATATAACATGATTTATAAGGCGCTAGCAATTTATACAAAATATCTTTTTTCGGCCCGAATATTTTCGACTTAAATGATAATAAATCTAAATCCGATCCGGGAGGTGAGGTGATATGCTGATATTCAAATGCGTAGATCCCCCAGCAATCAAGCTTTTGACAATTGGAGCTGCTAAACGCAGTTTATCTAATTCCCACTTTATTTAATTCACACATAAAGATTACTTCCTACCGCGAAATTGGTTCATTTAATTTGTTAAAAGTGAAATACTTATTTGTTTAAAATTATGAAGTTTTTTTGGGAGAATTATGTTGAGGTTTTACATAAAGAAATTAATTATCAAAAGATTCGTTAACAATTGAATTAAGTTAATAGATTTTATGATAATTAATTTTTTTATGTGAGGCCTGCATGTAATTTTGTTTTTCTCTTTCCTTGAGGTACCATGTTTATTTAGCATAACATGAGAATGCAGATAGAGGCTAGGAAACGTATTCAGGAACAGACTGAGGTTTGACCCTCCGGCCATGCACCATTTTAGAATTGCTGAAAGAGGATAATATGATTCGATCGAGACCTTTATGATGGTAATTGTGGGTCAAAATTTGACTTGAGAAGGAAACTCGTAAAAGACGAAGATGAAGTGAGGGAGCAATGTAACATTCTGTTAGTTTATGCTGAAATGCAAAACCGTGCTTCTTTGTATCTCATTCCATGTAATCGATTATCCATTTATGTATATCGACACAGAGCAATCGTTGAATTCTCCTTTATTGTTGTGAGTTGTTTGAATTTGAACTCTACGCTCCCTACAAGTGGATAGCTAATAAAAGTGTTTACCATTACCATTACCATTATTATATCCATTCAAATTCTCTTCTCTCTAAATTATATTTTTATTGCTCAACCATTCTATACTTAATATTTATTAGGGGTAGAATGAGAAAGATAATTTCTTTCAAGACACGATCATTTCTTAATACATGTGCATGATCTCATCCATTGCTTATGTTTGGTATGAAGAAAATATATTATCCAAATAAAAAAATTTTAATACATGAATTTCAAATGTAATACTCTAAATCTAAAATTTAAATTCATGTATCCAAACATCATATGAAAATTAACTTATAGAAGAAAAACATGGGAGAAAACATGGAACCTAGAGGTGGAGTTGAACTGTCACTGTTCACAATTTATTTGGTTTGAAGCAACTTTTAATTATTGTATATCGATATTGATGCCAGCCTCCCTTTATGATGCTGTTCTCATCATGCTTATTATATTCCATATACAACCATCATTTTCCCCTCTTAACAAGTTATCATTAGGCAGCAAAAATCATTCTGCGTGATGTATTTTCGAAACCAAATTAACCGAATGTATCAGAGTATCAAAGTAACGATAGCAAGAGACCCAAGACTTGTAAAAACCGTACATGTAGTAAAACAATTCTGCATCAGATGATCATCGCTAGCACAAAACAACAGCACATTGAAGAAAAATATCACTTCTACCCTAAAAGAAAAAAAAAGGGAAGGAAAATATCAGCTTTAGTTATCTAAACAAAAGAGCGTTCCAATAATTGTGCAAAAATTTCTATGAATCCATGAAAACGAGGAGTAGGTGATCGCAAGGAAGATGTCAGAAAGAAGCCGAACTTGTTCTGCGAAGCTGATGCTTACCCTCAGCTGGTGGAACAAGCGGCAGCACTCTCTCTATTTCCTGCATGGAAGATTCAGTGAGAAAATCATCGCCATGACTATTGATGAATTATCTAACGAGTTATTCCTGCACTCTGGCTTTTTGCATCAATAGTGTAATTGTTCAGCAAATGCCAGGAAAATAAAAGAACAATGATTAACCTGATAACAGATCGTTGGTTAGAAATTATAAACTTTAATTAGCTAAGTTCTATGGTCCTTCGTGCTAAAACCTTCATAGTTACATTTTGTGTCTAGAACAGTCCTATGCATTCATAGACGGGAAATGGAGCTAATCCTTTCACCTCTTAAAACAGATCTTGCATAGTGTTTCCATGAACTGAATTAAAAAAAAAAAAAAATCAGTTTTCCCCCAACTACAGGAATTTCCAGCTTAGTTTAATATAAGCTTGTGTTCCTGAATTTTGGAATCTAATAGCACAAGACCTTGAACTCTCACCATTTTTAGTTCTATACATGACTTGCTTAATCCAAGATATAACACAGCAGATATCCCTGAACAAGCAATGGCCAAACCAACTCTTAGTTATCAACAAATATTTCATCCATTTATTACTTTACAAAGATATCAGGAAAGAGACCCGACCAACAAATATCAGTATACGTCCCAGGGGGGGGGAGAGAAGAAGTAAAGAATAATAGCAAACAAGAAAAACAAAATGCATATTGTCAAGGTATTGAGACTTACATGCTGTCTTCTAAGCCTTTCATTCTCCTCTTCTAAATGTGAAATTTTAATCTCCAGCTCATTTGTGTAAGCCTGTCCATTGACATAGATACAGTCAAGTGTCAACTTATAAGACAGATGCACCTCAAAGAACTAATAACACCATACAAAAGAATATAACCTGTTTTCTAGCTCGTGACCGAGCTGCAGATTCCCTATTTTTTATCATCCTCTTCTGTCTCCTCTCCATGGTTTTCTCAACCACATCTCCAGAGGCCTCCCTCTTCCTTCCCGGACTATGTGTGTCTGGTAACTTACCCATCAAAGAAGATGGTGACATTGTTGCCACCATATTTTCAGAGTAGGATGAATCCGAAACTGGGTTTGATACTGCTGGCAAAGGTTGTTGTTGAACTCCAAGGCCAGTCATTAAACCTGCCATTACATCGTGATTATTTTGATGCTGGTGCAGTGAAGAGAGCTGGTATTGAATCCAATGAGCTTGCTCTGAAATATTGTGTTCAGAAGCCATATTTGAATCCGAAACCACTCCTGCCTTCACAAGGAAATCCTCAAGGGTCATCTCACCCAATTTAGTTTGTCTTTCTTGAGATTTCGTCACTTCCCTAGTGTTCTTCTTCTGTTGCATATCTTTCCAAACTTCATCAACAGTTTTCTTTCTAACATCCTCAGATAATGTCAGGCTGCTCTGTCGATTCAGAGACGACCCAAAAGCTAGCTGACCAGTACCTTCTGCAGTGCCCACACTCTTGAGCAGTTCATCGAGGTTCATGCTGCCTAGTGGCTTCCCAAAATTTCCAAGCTGGTTTTGCACTTCATCAAGAGTCAGATTGTACAAGGATGATCCTTGGTAAACCGAAGATTGTGCCTTTGGCTCTTGGGTTGCTTCCCCTTGGGATCCCATTATCTAGGCCACACCACCGGCCTACAACCCTATAGTATATCTTTCATGCGAGAGATAGGTCCAATTTAGAAGTCGGCTACAGAGTGAACTGAAAGCCCACTGCAATGTCTAGACGGAGATTCAGCAAATAACTTGGTGATGAACCTGAAACCATAAAGAAAAACCAGAATATGCCGTCTAATCAATCCAAACGCAAACAGACTCCTTTGATTTTAAGGTTTGGTGAAAGGCGTTCACAAATTAAAAAAGCACGCAATATAGAGTGGGATGGAAAAAAATTGACCCCAGAAGAAAAATATAAACCAGATCAGATTGGAAATTGCATATGGTCAGTGAAGAAAAGAATTGCAGACTTCACTCAAAAGTGGGAAGCATCGCAGAACAGAAGGTCCATAAAGTCAAAAACCAACCATGGATGGATGAGATTAAAAGCTATCAACTATTTGTGCGTGTTAATTATATCATCACCACTTAGCTGAGAACAAAGCCAAGAATTTGGATTTGCACAGTAGTCAACGCAAACAAAACTGTTTCAGAAGACCGTTGCTTACAGTGTCAAAAAGGAATCAAGAGTTCATACATAAACAAAATTTTTCTTTGTAACTGCTTCAGTTTTGGCATTGCATCTACTTTACTGCAGCTCAGGCTCTAAACCTCAGGGGCAAAGATGAGGCCTTTTCATTTCCCTTGGGTATGGGGACACCAAACCCCCTAGGCGAGAAAGAAATATATTAATTATATTAAATAAATGGGCAGGATATATATCTAAGATGGTAAATTAACAAAAGAACCTACATTCCTCTCTTTCCTATCTCTTAGGTGTTTTCTTGCAAGTTTTCTGTTAGAATTTATTTTCTGGTGAGTTCCTCCACATGTGCTTTAGCATGCAAGTCTTAATAAAAGATGGAGATGATATTTAACTAACCATTAACACGTAGTTTTTTTTTAAATGAAAATAATTAGACTTGATAGATAAAGACTATGATATAACTTCTTGGTTGAACCAAGAGGCCAGTGCAAGCCTGCAAGGGCTAACATGAGTTGGTGCATAAATTATGTGGATACGAGAATCAGTATGATAACCAGATAATTCTTGAGTTTTCACTAAGAAAAGGAAAAAAACTAATCCTCAACTTCTCTGTGATTTTCAAGTGGAATTTCCCAGTTTGAAAACTGAGAACGAGAGAATAACTCAAAACAGAGGGAATCGTGAGGAGCACATGCGCCTAGAGACAGTAAAGATGTTGAAGACATGAAAAGCGAAATTTCTCAACTGGTTTTACAATGAACACCTGATATATATTGCGGAACTCTTATATGTCAGCAAAGGTCTTCCATTAAAAGAAGAGGAGGATGAGGAGGAAGAAGATCATTTGGTAAGCCCCAGACAGCAGTCTTCATCAAAAATCGCGAAGAAAGAGAGCGTTAAGAGAGTTTAGCTTAGCTTAGCTTAGATAGGTATCAACTGACGAAATCAGTGACGGTTTTGGAAACTTCCAACTGCATCATCTGATGGTCTGATCTGAAATGGAATGAAAATGAAGAGACAAAGTCATAGAATGGCACATGTAATGCATGCATAAGAATACGCGTGGGCATCCCACCGAGGAGGACACCCACGTGCACGTGTTCTTTCATCAATCTACAGGAAATAAACATCTCATAGCACTCTCGATTACTCAATCTCTTTCTGTTCTCTGAGAAACCAAGTGGCAGGAACTTCATGCTCAGGCGATCTCTTTAATGTATTCCACCAATGAAAAGTGGGCATTTTTTTTAACAGCCTCGTGGTACTTTAACAGCCGTTGCTCAGAAAATAACTGAGATAAGTCACCCATGTTAAACATACTTTATTATAGTTAAGGTTACCAACTTAGCATCATTGTTTTTGATTGCCTCTCTGCCTGCGTTTGATTCATTACCTTTATAAAAGGTTGCTTTTTCGAGGGATTTAGGGGCCACTGCTCTGTCAGAAGACGTGGCGGACGAGGAGCATAAGCGGTTGGCGGCAGGTACGAGAATTGAAAACTTGTTTGCAGAAAACCCATTACAGAACAGAGCACATGATGCAGCGCATTTATGCCATGATGTGATAATAACTTGGAATATAAATAATCCCTTTCTTTATATCTTATCATTTTCATCTTTCATCATGCCCATCCCACTAAGGCAGGTCGATGTTGCTATCATTATATCTCCAAAATTTCTTTGTTGGATATTAATGATTCTTCACCTCACCGATCATTGTAAGTGGATCCCGTGTAGGTTCTGATAAATAGACCATACTGATGGCCATTTTATGAATTGTGTAATTTATTAATTTTTTTATTTTATACTGAGATTGATGTGGAAGAAATTCTTAAGCTGGGAAGGGAAATAAATTATTAATATTATACGCCAGCACTTGAATTTTAGGAGGCACGGGCTGATGAAGAGTTGCTTTTGGTTCTCAAATGAAACAGTATTGTTTCTGAAATAAAAGGAGATGGTAACGTAA